ATCTGGGAAGATTTGCATAACGCTGCCCAAATGTTCACGCAAAGGCGGCATAACTTATTCTCGCTGTAGTATTATTGCTGCTGCCGCCGCCATGTTGTGAAGGCGCTGTGTGCTTCATTGTGAAAGCGAAACTACTTTGTTTGGCCTTCCAAAAGAGGACGATATCGCTTCGTCATGCCTAGAGCTGATCCGTGCTGGTTGCTGAGGAAATACTTCAACTTGGCGCTGTCGATTGCCGGATCGGCTTTCACCGTAGACGAAGCAGAGTCCAGCACGGGGTCGTCACATGTGGTTGCCGCAGGCATCACAATATGGTAAGGGACGTAACATTTCCGTCACATGCTTGAGGAATTCAGCCAATCACAACGCACTGGATAGCTGGCCAATCAGAGCACACCTCGCTTTTTCAGACCGATGAGCTTTGTAAAAGTCAACACGTTTCAGAAAGGCGGGGCATAGAGGAGAATCAATAATGTACAGAATGTGGAAAATAATGTGTTTTTTTTACCTTAAACCACATAAACACATTTCATTACACCAAATACACAAAATAATGTTCTTTTTAGCAGCATCATATGACCCCTTTAATATTGAGGATAGCAGAAAACAAAGAACGCACTTTAGTATCTCTTGAAGCAAAACAAAGCAATACAACGCTCACAAGAATAAATGAAGACTCTACTCAATATAGGCCACTATGCTTTTTCAATTATACTTATTTCTTTAATGTATTATTCAGCCTATTCATTGACTCACCCTTCCTGCTGTCAATGAAGGGACTACTGGAGTTCACCGGCTCTTTGTCATTACTATAGGCCCTAATCTAAAATTCATAGCTTCAGATTGAAAAAAAATGATGTACATCAACGAACAATTCCACAATGAAGTGTATTACCTGCGCCTCTCCCAGGAAATGTCATTTGATGAACACACGTAATCAAAAAATCAGGCCGAATAGTGGAAGAAAATCCAATTAACCAAAGCAGGAGCAGCTCTCTCAGGAAAATCTATATAGCATGAGGTAATTGGGAAACACCTAGTGTCAGATCCAGGGAGACCCCTGTTATTCCACAAACAATGGACCGTACACTAGCAGACGGATAGACCTATTCAAAACCACTGGTTTCGGTTAACAGACTATTGTGCAATACAAAATACAGTGCAATGTTCACATTGAACAAATGACTGATTCATATCACCCTTTTGATAACTTGAATATGCAATTAGTTACTTGAATTTTGGTTTTTAATGCCAACAATCTTCTTTATGTCACGGCGTGTGTTCGTCTCTGTGAAGGCGTAGTGTCCTAACAAGAGTTCATCATGCTGGAAAATTGGAAAACAGCAGCTGTGCTTTTTGCTACTTTAATTAATTCATGTTCTACTAGAATCCCAGGTGATCAGTTTTGCATATCTAATCGAGTGAAACCAAGACGACGATGGAAAAAAAGCCCATCCACGAAGAATTTTTGCAAAATGAGTCTATATACTTTAATAGTCCTCCAAGACTCTCCTTTAAGTCTGGGCGAGAAACCAAAATGCCCCTGAAGGATCCAGCTGGGCAACCAGGAAGCCCAAGCCTCATCTACTCGCGTCACGCTAGTATTTATACCAAGCAAAACATGTCATACTTGGACTGGCAAGCAAATGGGTATCCGTTTACATGTAAAATCAGATTGCCAAAGACGGAAGTGAAACATGGGCCTTAAGGAATCTCTAAGCCAATTAGTTCGGCTCTTGAGAGCAGAATGCGCCTGAAACTGGATCGGATGCAAAGAACGCTTAGGTTTGTGATGCCTTATTGTGCATTACTAGCCATTTATTCTAGCATAAAACTTGCATGAGTGGTAATCTGCACTGAGAGGCTTAGTAAACCAAGGATTTGCTTTCAAATAAAACTAAATAAAGCAAATCACTTTCTTACATCAACACCAAAACTCTGGCATCATTTTTCTCATGCTTCACTGCTACAAAGTCTAAAATTATCCTCAAGCTTTGTGGTCAGCACATGCATTTGCAAGCAGTCATAAAGTAGACACACAAATCTCAGCACAAGTCAATTAAGCAGCCATTGCACCTGGTGCTATGCTATTGGGCCATATGCCAAGGGACATGCATGGCCTCAGCGGACCATAAATCACTGGATAATGTGCAGCATGGCCATGGTGAAAGTGGTCCAAGTTTCTCCTTTAGCATGAAAATAAAACTCTAAAAAGATTAAAAAGCTGCAAACCGCACTTGAAGAATCAAATACAGACACAATCCTGTTTGGAAACTGAAATAGTTGAAAGCAAATTAGGGGCATTTAGGAAAAGATCAAGCACCTTTAAATTTAGGAAACGCTGTAGTTATACATAAGATATATGACGTTATCTATCACCTCAGATCAAAGCACCAACCTTTTTCTGATCTTCCAGACCATGAATCACCTGCTTCCGCTTTGGGGATGTAGACGCCTCAGCTCCCTTCTCGGACATCTTCCAAAAACACTCCTTGAAGTATCCGCTGCACTTCTTCAAAAACAAATCCAACGCTCTCCGACCGGTTCCAGTATTCCCAAATCCAAAGTCCCTATGCAAGCAAGCTAATTCCCTTTGCCACAGTAATGTCCATTCATTCGTGCGATTCATTGAGTCTGGGGTAGGACAGACGTGTGATCACACCATGGTGCATCCCTTCAGATGAAGCCCAGCACGGCTGCTCTGTGACAGGCATCGAGAAGGGGGGAAGGGCCCCTGTGACCAGCGACCCCAACTTCATAATTACACATTTCTGTATTCACAGTCATTTTCCTGATGATCTGAAAGCTTCCAAATGACACAGCGGCATGTTCTTGCAGCTTTACATCACAGTCGGGTCTCACACAAATCCAAAGATGCTATTTTTGCTCCAGAATTGGTCTCCTGACCCACATGCACCTGATGTAAAGAAGGGGAAAAAAACAAGGCAACTTGTCATATAGTGAGATATACATATGCAAATGCATTATATTTTATTCAAACTACAACTTGAATGAGAAAGACTGAGATGGTGCTAAACAAGCATGATTGCATACATTGATATTTATTTATTATATATTACAATATAATCACAACTCATCATAAAACATCCTATAAACAACTAATAAATCAAAAAGGCATTAGTCTAAATAAACTTTTCACCCTAAAACACAAATTCTACAGTTGAGATCTTGTGCAAGTTTGATTTCGATAACAATTTGCTCATACGTAAGCGCAACACAAACAAATAATCATTATTCTGACTTTTGCCATTTTGAATATGGATGAAGACTCTTAATTTAAGTACAAAGCTTCCAAATGACACAGCGGCATGTTCTTGCAGCTTTACATCACAGTCGGGTCTCACACAAATCCAAAGATGCTATTTTTGCTCCAGAATTGGTCTTCTGACCCACATGCACCTAATGTAAAGGGGAAAAAACAAAGCAAAACTAAATACAGTACAGGCAACTTGTCATATAGTGAGATATACATACGCAAATGCATGATATTTTATTCAAACTACAACTATAACAATGGTGCTAAACAAGCATGATTGCATACATTGATATTTATTTATTATATATTACAATATATCACAACTCATCATAAAACAACTAATAAATCAAAAAGGCATTGGCCTAAATAAACTTTTCACCCTAAAACACAAATTCTATAGTTGAGATCTTGTGCAAGTTTGATTTCGATAACAATTTGCTCATACGTAAGCGCAACACAAACAAATAATCATTATTCTGACTTTTGCCATTTTGAATATGGATAAAGACTCTTAATTTAAGTAATCATATCTCTGCCATGCAGCCCCTCCTTCATAACACTCGCATTGTAGTCGAGATCCTTTGGTTCTTAAGTGATTCAATATAAAAATGTAACATTGCACAACAATTCAGACCGCAACGCTTATAGATAAGGTGTGATAAAGCAGCTATTTAATGACGACAAACCAGAGGATACAAGAGACAACTCACCCCAAACAAGAGCGCAGAGTGTCCGCGGAGGGATAGGGATGCGGAGCGGAGCAGCAGTGGCAGGCAGTGCACGCGGGACCACAGCGGCTTCAATCCATCACATCACGTCTCTTCTCGCCGCTTCATGCCGCTGAACGTCTCCATGGAAGCGTCCTCAGCGAAAGCGCACAGTGCCACCATGCGGCAGACAAGGGCAGAGTCGCTAGAGATATTTGATGCATCAACAATACAGCCTACCGTACTGCAAAAATGACATGATTAATAGTAAGATCTCATACAGTTTAATGAAAAACTGTTGCGAAAAATCAACTGAACTGTTGCGAAAAAGACAATGAATTAAAACAGTGTACAAAATTATTGTTTTTTTTAATATGTTTTAAAATGTAACTCATCCCTGTGATAACAAGGCTGCATGATCCTTCAGAAATAATTATATGCCGATTCAGTGTCCCAAGAAACATGTCTTCTTATTAACACTGAAAACCATTCAACAGTTTGTGGTAAGATTCAAATAAATTAATAAATAGGATGCACTAAACTGATTCAAGGTGAACACATTTATAATGCTACAAAAGATTTCTATTTCAAATAAATGTTCTTTTGAACTTTTTACTCATCGAAGAATACAGAAAAAAAGGTATCATGATTTTCAGATTTTTTTTCCCGTTTTGTGTGTGTGTGTGTGTGTGTGTGTGTTTTAAATATAACAATAAGGTTGGCGGAGAGGCGAGCGGAGGCGGGGCGGCGTGTAGCGCGCTCTGTCCAGTATCTAGGCGGGACAAATGGTCAGACTGATCAAATAAACTTGTTTTACTCCCTACTAGGAAACGGCCACATACAACTTTTCCTCAGCTATGCAGCAAAAGCAGTTTGTACTCATTTTTTGGTTACATTAATGTGACTTAATTATTAAGAGTTAATTTACAGAAGTGTTGGATCCGATATTATTGGAGACCTGGAACTGTATAACGTTACGTGTAAAACTTACCTGTACAGTATTCCTACGGATTTATGGGCACGACTGATGTCGAGCAGTATGTGAAAGTGGTACATTTCTCTTTTTGGGTGAGTAGCTTTGAAATGTTATCATGTTTTTTTGTTGTTGTAGTTTTAAAGTTACTCAATGGAGACTGGAGAGAAGTGTAAAGTTATGTGGTTTGCTGTAAGCTTACGGACTTAGCTGGCTTCAGGCCCGTTTTGGCTTAACATATCCGCTTTAGTTAATACAATTAATCGACAGATAATATTTGTCCGTATAATATAATACGTACGTTAATTTAATCCAATATCATACATTTAGGACACATGCCAGACTGGCGGCTCTTGGTAGTTTCGAACCCGCGTTAAAAAGGCTGAAACTCCTAATTTTGTGGTGTTATGAGCCAACGTGACTACAATCTTGAGCTAGGTGCATGCGTATCTTTATATAATTAGCTCCTGAGCGATAATCATGTACTTTATACTTATTATACTGCACGTAACGTTAGCAAATGAGTTATTAGCTACCTCTGCTGCTACTCTGGTCATTTAAAAATCTGCTTAATAGTTTATATAGACTGTTTGAACTGCTCAAAGCGCACGACCATCGGGGAGATAAACGATTTCTTTAAAGTTGTGTTAAAGTTAGTAACTTCCGGATTATACATTTTGCAATCGGCCAGATTCCGCGCCAAGATTTCAAAAAGCGTGGAGGCGCGCTGGACGCGGCGAAGTCCCGCCCCCCAGGGCCGCACTTATTGGCTGCTGTCAGTTGGGGGCGTGTTTTCGTACGAGTTCTGCGTAGCCATTCGATGGAACGCTTGTCAGTTATTGCTAAGCGCAAAAAAAAAAAAATCAACACTGTAATTTGAAATCATAATACTTTTTAATTTATGCACATTGATTCGCATCTGTTACGTTTTAAAAACAAGTTGAGAAATTGTTGAACGTTATACCCGGACTGATCTTCACAAAGTTGTCTCCAAGAATGTATAATGCTGTAAAGAAACGGTAGGACTGCTTTATTGAATGTAAATAATAATAAATTAACGTTGATTTTTGTAACGTTGCCTCGTGTGTTCTTTTCTTTAGGTGGAAAATGTCCAGTACATTATCAGAAGGTCAAAAACTAATCAGGAAACCTTTAAGAAGTCCATGCAAGGAAAGATCAGCAAATGACACGGTCAGTTATAAATATTTTGGCTTGGCAGATATTATTGTCAGCAAAAGAATGATTTGAAGAACCTATACTATTAACTTATACTCTAGATTAGGGGTCTCCAAACTCGGTCCTGGAGGGCCGATGTCCTGCAGAGTTTAGCTCCAACCCCAATCAAACACACCTGAACCAGCTAATCAAAGTCTTACTAGGTATACTTGAACGTCCAGGCAGATGTGTTGAGACAAGTTGGAGCTAAACTCTGCAGGACACCGGCCCTCCAGGACCAAGTTTGGAGACCCCTGCTCTAGTGCAAACGGTCCAAACAAGGGCCTGCAGGACAAAGTTGGTGTGTGTTGACCTTTGATTTGTCCGGCCATATCATATCACAAGAGAAGGGGAAAATAGGAAGAAAAAACAAGCCATTAATGCACATCTTCATTTGTTATTTAACTTTGTGTTAATATTTTTTAATATGTAGAGAAATGTCTGAAATGTAGAGAATAAAAATGTTTTAATGTAATATAGTTGAATATATTGCAACAATTATTTGTGCCCCACAACGCTCATTCTAGTTTGGTTTCTGGCCCTTTGTAATAAAAGGTTTGGGTAACTCTACTCTAGAAGTATTTCTTGAAAAAGAGTGCGATTATGATCATCAAGACCTCATGTGTTTTCTATGAAATAGGGGCATGTTTTTGTGGAACCACAAACACCACTAAAAAACGCAAGTAAGGCTTCAGAAGCTGCGTTACTGGGGAGTCATAAGAACATGGGGCCCCTGACAACACCTACTAAGGGTCTTGAGGCACCGTCAGGCGAACCCTGGACACCCACCTCCAACCTGAAGATGCTCATCAGTGCAGCCAGTCCTGAGATTCGCAACCGCGAGAAAGACCGTGTCGCAGACAGCGGTGAATCGGAAAACTCACAGGTATCAGTAAAAGTCTGTGCATGACATGCATCTCCCACTGTTTGTTGATTTACTATCCGTGTTGATAAAATGTTTTGATATATGTGTGTTTTTCATTGTCGTGCCACACAGGAGCCTGAACAAGGAGAAGAAGTAGAAAAGCTCCAGATAAGTCGTAAAGACAAAAGTCTGGGTTTGCTGTGTTACAAATTTATTGCAAGGTACCCAAACTACCCCAATCCCGCTGTAAACAACGACATCAGCCTCGACGATGTGGCGACAGAACTAAGTAAGTCAATCAATGCTCACACAAAACTACTCATTTCAGTCATCAAGCCGTGTTTCATCAATCCTAACTGCCTCTCAGATGTGGAACGACGTCGCATCTATGACATCATGAACGTGCTCGAGAGCCTAAACATGGTGAGCCGGCTGGCTAAGAACCGCTACACGTGGCATGGCCGGGTGAAGCTTGCGCAAACACTTGCCATGCTGAAGCGAGCTGGCAAAGAGAACCGCTACGGCCAACTGATGCAGCAGATCCGTCAAAGGAGCCTAGAGCGAGAAGAGAGAGCGTTCGACTTGGACGGAGAGGAGGAGAAGGAGAATGAAGAAATGTCTAGTTTTGAAATGGATGGAGACTCTGGTCAAGCAGAGCTTTCAGGAGCAGATCCTAAAGCAGGTAACAATGTCCAACCATCTGCTTTAGGCAATACTGTGTTATTTCATCTATCTATGCATGATAGAAAGCCATTAGGTCTCATTTACAAATAATTGTGGATTATTTTGCATTTGTACAAACAGAAGAATTTCCTAAAAAATCCTAATTCATTACACATGCATACACACGTGAATTTGTTCTTAATTTCATTGTAATGTTAATGTTTTATTCTTGAAATTAAAAAAAGTTGCATATAAGTCACATTTTATTAGATTGTTCAGAAATAATGTAAAATACCGCATGTTTTGCAAGCTTGACGTTAATTGCATTATATAAGTCACTTTGCAATGTAATTGCAGCACATTTTTTTTTAAACGCATTTTACACACACAAACCTTGCAGCTCATCCTATAATGCAGCTTTTCTTATTCTTCACTGTATATTATGAAATATATTTAAAACATAACAGGATTTAAAACTTAAGAGTATGTGATTTTTACATGCGTGTGATTTCAATGAATCCTACTTTTCTCTTTTCTTTTTTATTTAGAATACACTTTAGTATTAAAGAGACCCACTGACCTTGCTTTTTTTCTGCAGCTTCTGCAAACAGTCGTAAAGACAAATCTCTGAGAGTGATGAGTCAGAAGTTCGTCATGTTGTTCTTGGTGTCCAGCCCTCCTGTGGTCAGTCTCGAAATAGCTGCCAAGATCCTAATCGGTGAAGATCAGGTGGTGGATCAGGACAAAAACAAGTTCAAAAGTGAGTGCTGCTCTCATCATACATATAAAAAAACACGTTGAATAATTATTTATAGTGGATGGCACATATGTTATCCATTTCATTTGGTGGTTGGAAACAGATACAAATCTTGCAAAAAGTGCATTAACAAGTGCACTCAACCAATAAAAACTACTTTGAAGAAACTAATTCATTAATGCTTGAGTCTAAAACTCATCTGTAATTTAACTGTCTGTACATTGAAGATGGAATTGATTATCTGATTATCTCTTTTCTGATGGCAGCTAAGATCCGCAGACTTTATGACATTGCAAATGTTCTGAGCAGCCTAGAGCTGATAAAGAAAGTGCATGTGACTGAGGATAGAGGAAGAAAGCCTGCTTTCAAGTGGACTGGGCCAGAATACTTACCATCTTTAAAGAGTGAGTGTACCATGTTTCACATGAAATCGTTCATGATCCTACTTGTAGTGTTTATTTTAAGCAGTCTGCATATGTTCTTCTGTAATTTTTTGTTATTGGTTATGTTTGTTTTACAGACCTGGGGACCTCAACTTTATCATCAGCATCACGGCCTATGGAGTCTCGTTCCTCTGTTGACAACTGTGCTAAAAATCTCTTTTCCTCACCCGGAACAAAGCGAGGTTTTACTCGACATAATTCCTTAGTCAAATTGGTAAAGAGCATACAAGATGACCGCCGAAAAATCAGCTCTGCACCTACTAGTCCAGTTAAAATGAGAGGTGAGCCATAACTGTTTCATCGTGAGCAAGCAGCCAACTAATAGTCTTCTGTTTTCTGTGGGGATTTTCTACTTTCAGATGTCATCTGGTTGAAATCTCAAGACTCAAGTTTGCCTCCCAGCATGAGATTGTCTTTTTGAAATCTGACCACACAGACAAAATGATTTTTGGGGACTTGTTACAATTAAAAGCCTAACATGGAACACTGAAGACTGCAGTAATGGCTGCTGAAAACTCAGCTTTGCCATCACAGGAATAAATTACACTTTAAAATATATTAAAATAGAAAACAGTTATTTTAAATTGTTAAAATAATAGTTTATGTATTTTACATAAAATAAATGCTTTAAAATTAATTTGCATAGACAAATGCAGCCTTTGTGAGCATAAGAGAAATAAACTTTTATCGATTTAGTAACATCCCTAGACTTTCACTACACCTGAAAACTAATGTCCTATCTCTTGTGTTATAGGTGACTCTGCAAATTGTGACTTCTACACAAACAAAATGGCTCATTTGGCTGCTATCTGCAAAAAGCAACTAGATGAACAATCAACGTAAGTAAACTTGTGTTTCTTAAGACCGGGACACACCAAGCCGATGGTCGGCCAACGTCAGGCCCTCGGCGAGCATCTGTTGGGCTAGTTTTTGTGAAGTGTTCCACACATCAGCTCACGTCGGTGGCAGTTTGCCCGATTCAACGTGTTGAATCAGCTTTGGGCCGTCAGTGAGAGTGAGATCTCTGATTGGATGCTAGGTTTAGCGAACGTGTCAGTGCCCGAGAATTAAAGAGAAAGAGATGAAAACGAGCAAGTAAATAAAGGCGGCACAGACAGAAGGCTGTTCTAATGTTACGTGATCTTACCCAAGCATTCCAATATGCGAATATTTTCATTACAACATGAACCGCTTAAAATGAAGAAAGTTATCAACATGACAGATATTCAAAATGGTAAGCAAGCACTGCTTTGTTTACATATCGTATATCTGCGTATGTCTCGTATATCCTTGTTTCGGTTTCTCCTTTTGAATGACTAATACATACTATTGATAGCTGCTGATATAGACAGTTAATTCCTCTCACGCAGGCACAGAACGCCCATGTTAGTTTGCAGACGGATGTAGTCGGAGCATTTTTTTTTTATTTGGTCTAGTCACCGCTAGTTCTTTGAAGTTGGCTTGGTGTGTCCCGGCCCTTAGAACAGAAAAAATACAGTTAAATACCCATTTCAGACATAACACCTGTGGACTGGTCTGCCAGGGTCCATCGTATTCAGCCTAAGAATGAGGTGACAGATGCTCTGAATGGAAGCACTTCACAAGTATCTGAACTACCTGAATCCACGTCTGCTAGCAATCATCAGTCTCATGGGCCTTCGGAAATGCAGATCCCAGTTCTTCCCGCAGGGGCAATTCCATATCTTTCTACCAAGTGCTCCCCGATCATCCCGGTTCTGATACCTCAGCACCAGGCAGGCGGGTCATATGCTATTTACATGCACCCCACCTCTCTCAGACCGCAGCCCACCAGCCTAGCAGTCCGTTCGATGACATTTGAAAGCCCAGGAAGTGCAAACACAAAGACATCACTGGCTGCTACGACTAGCAATAACCAAACCAACCAACCATCATCACACGGTAAAGAGCCGACAAGTCCCTCAACCGTTAAACGAGCATGTGGCGAAAAGAGCTTAGCAGGAAGTCCATCTAAAATGCAGCGGATAGAGCCAAGGGTGAGGTTATTTGTTTTTATTTATTGTTATATTTAATATAAGAAATAAGCATGATCACATACTGAATTAAATGTTTGAACTGGCATTTTAAGTCTGAATTGTCTTAAATTAACTGCTCAGTACCTGCATTTTATGTGCTGATGTTGCATGGATAAACAGTTTCAACCTTCTGGTTTGCATTTGCTTTTCAGAGTGTTTCTCCAAAACTGTGTGAGATTCTGCAAGCCCGCCTAAAGGCCCGTAGAGGGGCTTTTGCCTCCACCCGGCCTTCCCCGAGAGCCCTGCACCTGGAGTTCTCCAAACCCTCTGAGAATCAGCCTCCCTCACTAATCACCGGCACAGCGCCTCTGGAGCACAGCTTGGAGACCTTCCTGGAGAAGGTTCAGACCTCCGACAATGAGGCCGGACTGACGCTTGACAGACCACCACAATCACAGTCCCAGAAGCTCAGCGTTCCCTTTCAGGATGTGGTGCTGCCATCTGGACCCATACATACAGAGGTAAGAGTACTACATACTACACTCTATGTGTGCAGGAACACTACACGTGTGCACCTTGTCTGTCTGATCTTCAAAATTCCTCATGCTGGAATGATCCAAATTGGTTTTAGTTTTTTTTTTTTTCACATGAGTTCTGGTCTTGACCCTAATTTCTCTCATTTGCATCAGACTTTGATCCCCGCAGGTTATTTGATTCCGATCTCCCAGCAGTCCATTGTGAACTTCAGAGATACACAGTACTCCATTGGAGAAAGCTCTAAAGCCTCCACACCAACGTACAACATCTATCACACCCCAACAGCAGGTATGCCAGCACCCAAGGTAACACATAAGTGTATATAATTATAGGAGAAGAAAAGCTATTCTTTCTAGTTATATTTCCATGACTAAATATTGATTTTCGTTTTTTTTTTATGTGTTTTGCCCGTTTATTACTCATTAACAGCGTTTTGGGGCCTGAAAACAGGTTTCAAAGGGCATGTTTTTGAAAACGGTACTGTTATTGTCTCCGTGTAAACTACGATAATGTGAATTTGTGAAATACGGTGACGTCATGCGAATGTATTTTACATGTTCAGTCTATAAGAATGAGAATTTATTTTTATTTTTTTTTAAACAGTGACAACCACTGGCCTGGTATGCATAATACTGAATGATTAATTAGTGAATCTAGTCTGAATCCATCTGATTTTGAAAAATACTTATCTAATAACCAAACAACTAGAAATATCAAGGATATTCAATGCTCAAAGTTCTGGAACTCAGATGAGACCTGTGAGAGCTCAATTTGGCCCAAATCTGAGATGTCAAATAGTCCAAAATGTTTTACAATAAGCTACTATGATGCATAAAAAAGTGATGCAACTGACAATAATAAGCCCAAATGTGGGGAAAAAATGTTACAATAATAATAATTCCTGGTTTTGGACAAAATTGTTTTGGAGGACCAATGTCATTGACCGAAAGTAACATTTAATTAAGTGCTTCTCTGATGGCGCATTTTTTAATTTAGCAATATGTAAAATTTGTTGAGCTGAAATAACTTTTAATACGACTAGTTTAATTGATCACCTAAGATAATGACAATCTGAACAGCATGAGTTTCAAGAAAGAAATCATTAAGGTGCATCACTTTGGTTCATTCATTGATTGCTTACTATTAATAATAGTATTATTAATAATAGTAAGCAAGTGTGTGCTGCATATTTTTGTGCTTGTTAGTAGGGTTGTGATGGTGAGGAAATTTTCCCACCGGTTAATCGACGTGTGACAACACCGTTAATACCGGTATCACCGCGGGGGCGTTCCCTCTTTTCCTCGCTTTCCTTCGCTTTTAAATAACTTGTAAAAGCGGCGTGCGCATTTTACTTTCACTTTCAAATAGCGGCAATTCGGAGTAAAGCATTTGTTCGTTTTTAGTTCGTTTGCATTTTCCCTCTTTTCCTCGCTGCGCATTTTACTTTCACTTTGAATTAGCGGGCAGTTCGGCGTCAATTGCTTGAATGCAACAACAAAATACAACGTCAAACTCACTTTAACGTATATATATATATATATATATATATATAAAACTTTTATTAACAAAACAAATAAAAATACACCATGCTATAGGGCAGGCTATGCCTAATATAAAAT